TTCTGTCTGACCATAGTGTTCAAGTTCTAAGTCAAATAGTAGTTTTTTAATACTTTAGATCAAGATTAAATTACAAAACATGGAATTACATGAAAGGAAGAAAGTTGCATTCCAAATCTTATTTCAGTGAAATAACCTTTGGTTTGATTTATTATGAGAATTTTTATGAGTCAGGTAGTAAATAGATCTTATCAGCAGATTACTTCAGGCTAGTACTGTCTCCCAGAAGATGCCAGTCACCTCAGTACAAAGGTGCAAGAGGCTATTCTCTATTAGAAAGTTCAACTGTAACCACTTTTGCCAGTAGAAGATGCGACACCTACTGTTGCAAACTGCATGACTTCTTCAGGCACACTTTCTGAAGGGCTGGGAATTGTTTTAATTAGAAACTGTCTATTTCATGCTGGATTGATGGATACCCCAGAAATAAGTTCATTTATTTAATACTGGGAAATGGTGCCCACTTGGAAAGAAGACAACGTTCCTTGTAGGCCAGTTCATATTTGGAACCAGAGTTCCAGATAGGCAGTTGTAGGACACATTATAATTTGCTTAGTTCTATTTTGTAATTCCACTAAGCTTTGCAAACACTTGAAAACCATGTTCATAGTACCTGAAGACTTTAGCTTTGTATCTCAAAGGTTGCATAAGTGATGTTTTTGAAAGTTCTTCTAATTAGTAGCACCAAAGGGAGATTCTAATAATGAGGCTTGGTTCCCTTGCACACTGCATCCCAATCCTAAAAATCCCTCTGCTCTTCAACAGTTGCTTTTGCAGGACAGGGGCTCTAAGCTGTTCTTGGGTTCAATTATTTGTAAACTTCTGGGAAAAAGAGGAATCCAGTGAATTAAACAGCTGGTAAAGTCTGTTTGGTGCTCTGATGCTATGCTTCAGTTCTATTTGTTGCTTCCAGTCATAGTCGCTTCTCTTTGTGAAATTTGTCTCATTGCTGTTTTTTCTAGCCATATGAGATGGGTGTAAGGCAATGAGAAGTTTCTATGGCTATATAACCTGCTAGTTTAGAATATCATAATTTTCATCTATGGGTTCAGTAAACTAAAGATGTGACCAAGCAACATGATAGGATTCAGCAGGTTCTGCAAAATGGTACCTAATACAACACCCACAGCAAGTAGACTTTTAAGTGAGTGTTAGAACCACAATGCGTGAGTAGTTATGTGGGGAATTAATATTTGTTATAGAAAGTGATAGGTTTCCTCACTAAAGTCAACTCCTCCTTTACATTTCTGTCTTGTGCTTTGCACTAAAGTATCCATTTGTTTGGAATGGGGGAAAAATATCATTGTTCTAGACTACACTTGTGAACATAGTTGTTATATTTTGCATGATGTTGTAACTAAATGATTAGCTGTGGTGCCTAGACTGAATATTGGAGCTACGAAGAGCAATTGAAATATGTGCCTCTTCTAGGGCCAGACATGTAGATATATCTTTCGGATTGATCTAAGGACAAAGTAGTGGCAATGTTATGGCATTTCCTAGACCCAGCTGATTCCTCAAAAACATTCCCTTTTTTGTCTAATGTAAATTGTCTGGTTTTGACGTAGTACACACATTCATTACAAGTCATGCAGTAGTACAGGCTTCTGCTTGAAGCCTTTTTGTCTTCTCTTGTGCCCCTTCATTTTCCAATGTCCATCAGTCAGTCCCTACACTGTTTGACTGTGGATTTCATTAGGCTTACTAGTAGTAGTCTAATTGCTTATTGTGTACAAGTCCTTTTGTGTTCTGTAATATAATACTGGATGGATACTGCTCATCTATCCTTCAAGATCTTGTGAAACTAATAGTTGGAGAAGACTAAAAAAGGCTACCTGTTTTTAAGACTTTTGGAATTTTCATCAAAACTTAAGTCTAATTTCATGCATTAGTACAGCTTTCTTGAAACCTGTTCTCTAATAAAACTCTTCCTGTCAGCTAAGAAATTCTTATTTGTTTATCAATACGAAATACTCCTTGGAAATGTTTTGCTGCAGTTTGCTGAAATTTTTAATGTTTGTGTTTTATAGTTGTAAGTAATGCAAGCTTTCTGAAGCCTCCATTTGTTAAATAGTTCCTATTCTTGATGTTAAAACTGAACAATTTCAGTGTATGTTTCTTACAGTATTTTAGCTCTATAGGGATCTCTCCCTGACAGTGTCAAATGTAGACCACCGTAAGTTGTCAGCTTTAAAAAGCAACAGTGAAGCCTTTGTTAATGTTAGTTGTCTACTTATTCTTTATGTTGTGTTTACACAAGAAAATATTTTATCAGAATAAACAAAACATGAACACAAAAAGTATGCTACAGAATAATTGCTCTCCAGAACACATTGAGTACGGCTGTGCATACTTATGGCCTAAAGTTGCAGGAATTTTCTCACCAAAAAGTTCTTGAAAATTAGCTTTATTTACATATTCTTTTCAATATATATGTAGAAATATCTAAACAAGTTATATATAAACCAAGAATTGACATAGAGGGTGTAGTAACCCTGGAGTTCTTTTTTGATGATTTTTTTTTTTTTTTTCACGTAAATCAGGATGTTAAAATCTGAATGGTATCTCTGTATTAACTGAAGGCTATATGAATTTTATCTTCCTGGGCTTTTTCTCCATCCAAGAATGAGACTTAAATGAAGTTGTGGCTTACCACAGATTTAAAAAGATACCTTTTTGCATTTACAACTGAAAAATTCTATTCTGTATTTTATCTTAAGTATTTTAAGTCTTATCATGATTCAGTTAAGTTGGTTGGCAAGAAATGTTTTCTGATTATTTCTGATAAATAAGAGTTTGCTGTAAGGAGACAAGCAAAAATTAATTAAGGAGGGGGACAAAGTAGAACAGAAACAATCTGGTTTGTGTGTTCATTTGAATAATTTATAGGACATGAGCAGTGCTGACTACAATTTTATAAATGAATTTATGTTTTTAAATACATGTAGAGCTTTTTATGCTCTACTACTGTACCGAAATACTAAGTCTCAGAAAGCTGCTTCAACTGACAACTGAAATTTCTGTTTGTGCTCTCTGCAGTGGATCCTAGTAGAAAAATTTCTGGTATTGATCTTTTCTTAAGTCTTGCTTTACTATTTAGTGTTAGGGTAAATGTTGGTGTACTTCTGCTTTACAAAGTAACAGAAATGATACAAGATTTAAAATACAAATAAATAAGAACTTTGCAGTCTAAGCACACAGTGTAAAGCCCAGTTTACCTTGGTTGATTTTCTAGTAAATCAGGTTTTAGTTTGGAGCAAATTCCATGATTGAGATGTTCCTGATGCCTCTTCCAGTTTTCACTATGCACTGTAGACCAACTTCATTATATTTTATTTACATTAAAGACTTATATATGTACACACACACTTGCTAATAAGGAAGTAAAACTGAAAAATACCTTATTTTCATTACTGTTATTTTACACAAAGCTTTTGGTAGAACCCTGTCTTTTTCTGATTGCTATCTTAAACCTTCATGATAAATCAGTAATAAAATCTGAGCTAATACATTATTTCTTGGGGTCTTTTCTGTTTAAGTTACAATCAGATTCCTTATGTCTTCTTAGGTTCTCAAAAATTAATAGTATGTTTTCCTTTTAGCAAGATGGTCACTTCTCACTTTTTTCACTTTCAGGAAAAAGCAGTTCCATAAAATCTCATCCATTTATCACTATTGTCCAAGTGCCTGTTTTTCTCTAGCTTTTTTGAAGTGAGACAATAAATCTGTAAATATTGAAGAACTTCCTTAGGTTTGTTCCACACTTTTACAATTGGAAGGCTGCCCTTTGAGACTTTATACTGTCTGGGAGTACAGATGAGTTCAGGCACAATATCCCTAGCAGTCCCTATTAAACATCTTCTGAAATAGCAGCTCTCTTTTGTTACTGCTCACTGAATTCCATGATCTAGGCCAATTGTTTAGTCTGACACCTATATTTTTATTTCCCTCTATTTTCCTTTATTTTAAAAAGTAATTATAGTATAGATTCAGGTGCTAGCTGTCTTCCTGTGTCTCAGTTCTGACAGGTTTTTTACTTTAATTTCCATTCTTTTTTCTGTCCATCTATTTTTCTTTTTTCCTGAAGGAACAGAATAT